TTTATGCAAGTGAGTACACCATAATTGTTAAAAAGTTTAACGATATTGAGAAGAACTTCAACGCACAAGTCACAAAACAGCTATCTAACAACTGCCGCACCTGATCGTTCAATCTTGTGGCAAGTGAAAAAATGCGTAAACATCTAGAAATAATAAGAAAAAACAGCAAATTGATCGAAGAAATTTATCCTTATCATTTACTCTGATAAATGTTTAATTAAACTTTTCAAATTTCAATCCTTCATAGTTTTTCAATGACTGGGTTGATTTTCAAAAACGAAACGGGAAAGTATAGACAATAGAAAGCCCTTTTCATTGCGGTACCACTTGACCACCCTTCCTATTTAAAAAATGTTGGGGAAGACTGCCCCGCTTAGAGGGTTAAAGATTTTGCAATCATCTTTGGGGCAAAAGTTGTCCCCCTCACAAACAAAATTGACGTGTCTTTGAATTTTCTAAAAAAAAAATTACCCTAGCCGTTATGCCTTGCGGAACGTTTTCGATGGGCCACCCTGTATATTATACACTAGAACGTAGAATGTTTAGGAGGGGAGTTAATCACCGCGACCTTACAGATCTATTGTGTGTTCCCCTTTCTTGAGTTATAAAGAGTTATAACTCATCATACTCCCAACAGGGAGTTACACTCAGAGATAAAATACCCAATCATAAAATACGAAATCGAACAGGAGTAAGAGATGCGGTGATATCTGTCTTACATCTTAAATGGAATTGGGCAGAACATGTGGCTAGGATGACAGATGGATGGTGGACAAAGAGACTTGTGGAATGGAGACCGAGACACGAGGCCTATAGAAGCAGAGGACGACCTCCTAGTCGATGGACAGATGACATTAAGAGGGTGGCTGGAAACTGGATTCAAGTGGCACAAAATAGAAGGAAATGGCTAGAGTTAAGGGAGGCTTTTGTTCAGCAGTGGACGGTATAAGCTAAATGATGATGATGATGATGATAACTCATCATACAATCTCAGTGCTTTAACAAAATCCAGTATCTGAGATGGCTCCACAGAGACCAGCTCTCCATTCTCGACATCAGCCGTATCAAAGTTCATGGCACGAACGGTCGTCGTCTCGGCGCACTCAGCGATAAGGTGTTCTTGTGTTTCACCATTTTCCCCACAGAATCTGCATTCGCCGTTGTTCCTTAGCTTCAGCCTACAGAGGTGTTTTGAGGAGACAGTGTCCTGTTAGAAACAGCGTGACAATCGGAAGATTGTTTTTACTTAAATCAAGGAAAATCTTTGACTTTTCTCGGTCGTAAGTTCTGAGGAACTTTTTCGAGTGTCTTAGACCGCTGGAGGACTCCTATTCCAGGTTACGGATGGAGTCTTCCAGGTTCCTCAGTTCCGCCTTTAGTTGGTTTTCGCTTGGAAAACAGAACGGTTCTGATCCAGTTAGTGGAATGTTCGCTCCTTTTCTAGCTAGATCATTTGCGTTTGGTTTGGTTCTATCCGAGCGGGCACCAGAGTAGGAGGACTTTATATTTTTTGTCTTATTTGTACTTGTACCATAGTGATGTTTGGAGATGTTAGATTGTTTGACACCAGTTGTACTAGAGCATTTTTTGTCCAGCTTCTCTAGGCATTCATTGACTAACTTCGAGTTGATGGTTACTGAGTTGATCACGTTTAGTGCTGCTTCACTATCGGATATTTTATAGACTGTGTACTATTCATATGTAAATTGTTGACGAATCTGTTAAAGCCTTGCGAAATGTTATACATATATTAGGACAAATATGTACTTAAGACAGCTATTTTTTCTATTTCTTATTTTTTATTTCGCATTTATTATGTTTGTATAATGACAGAGTGCGTATTAATTAACAGTACAAAATAGAAAAACCGCACCAATCGTATAATAAAATTATGTATTATTTTCTTATACGAAAAGTAACTGTTTATTATTTTTGTTGTTTTCTGTCCTCAACTTCTTTATTTATAAGAATTCGCCAATTAAAAGACATTTTTTTGTTGTATTTCATTAGACACTTTTACCAATATTTACTCTATTCTTTCCGAAATTATAGAGGTTTTTCCAGCTGATTCGCCTCTACATTTGTCCGACTAATTTCCCAGAACGTTTCTCCTGTTTGCTTTGCGGGAACCGAAGGAAAATAACGTCCGACGATTTTATTTCTCCGGTCAACACCGTTGTTACGTATTTGTTTTGATATTTGACCGGCGCTGACCGTACACTGACCTTTAGTTCGAGTTTCGCTCTGTATTTTCCGGAGGCTCCCGTGTGCATCGAGGAACGAGAGGAAGTGTGCACGGTTCGTGAGCAGGAGACTGGGTTTCGAATGAACTCGTGCTATGCTTGTTCTAGGCAAAAATTTGCATTTTTTCTATATGTAGAGTTTTTTTTTAAATCCCTGTCGTTGCGGTACAAATAGGGATTCCGAGAGAATTTGTTCTTTTCGCTGTATTAGAATGAAATGGCAAATGAAGGGAATAGAATAGAAGTCAGAATTATTATACCGGGTGTTTCTCAAAAGTGGCTCACCTCTATAACTTTATTATTTTTTTCAGGCAAAAAAACGAGACTTAGTATGACAGAAAATAGGATTGTTAGACGTATTCAGTTGTTTTCGGCCACTTCCTGTTTCACCGGAAATTATTACAACTATTGATTTTTAAATGGCACCGTATTTTTTTGTTTCCTTTGATAAAAAAATGTCATTCTGAATAGATTGACATATTATATGTCAACTTTTGACTTTCAATTAACGAAAAATAGCATTTAAATGCTACTTTTCTGAGAGTGCGATGGTCCTAAATGTAACGATAATAATTTGTCGGGAAATACCAAGTGTGTGGTACCAAATTTTTCGTAAAAAACGATGAGCCACCCTCGTTTCATTTGAAAAAATTGAGTTATGATTAAAAACACCATTTGGGCATCCTTTAATCAACCAAGACAAGACACGAAAACATTAGACCATCAAATCTACTTTTTCAAGGCTTTTTAAATAAAAATTAGTGTTTTAACACACCATGGCACTCTAGATTGAGTTTAAAAATACGATTTTTATTAAGCGAGAATGTCAAAAGTTGACATGTGATATGTCTTTTTATTCGTAGTGTCATTTTCTATCGTGTAAGGTAAAACAGAAAATGATCAAAAACAATTAATTGAATACGTTAATCAATCCTGATTTATGTTATATTACTAACCTACCAAACCTCGTTTATTTATTCAAAAATGTAAAAAAGTTGCAGCGGTGAGCCACTTTTGAGAAACACACGGTATTGACATAATAATGCTTCAATTCTATCAGTGGTTTTAACTCATCATCAAAAGCAAAAAAAAAGAATTAAGAAAAACTATTTAACATTTCTAATTGCAACCACTTAGTTTTTCAGCAGGATAAGTTTATTAACGCCAATCAAACTTCAGATTCGCAATTTCTACCTGATAACGGTCAGCTAATGAGTCTAGGCTTGGCTTAAAATTTATAGCTTAAAATTTATTTATAAGGTTTGTGTTATACGGTGTTGATTGAAATTTAAAAGAAACGATCGCCATACATTACAAACATTTGCAGGTGTCTGAGTAAAGCATGTATGTAGACATTTATAACGGACAGTTTATAACCACAAATGAGGGATATTACCATGAAAAAACTATAATTTATTTTATCAGAAATTATAATTTTAAATTCAATTAATCATACTTTTGTCTTACATCATTAATTTCAATTTAACCAAATCTTTTTTCGTCATTAATTTTAGATTTAGCTAGTTTTCCTATGGAAATTAAACTAAATTTAAATGTATGAATGTATAATATAATATAAATTTTAGGCTAAAAGAAAAGATGCATTTTTCAAGAAGTTCTAAAAGTGTCAAAAAGTTCAAATTTTGAATTTTACTTAGCGTTTAATGAAGGAAACGTTAAATGAAAAAAAAATCCCGAAATTTCATTTTCATTAATTTTTGCACGAATAAGTTTTGATTGCCTTGGTTTCAAATTTTTTTTAGTGATTCTCTATCTTTTTTAATTTTGATTGATGTCATGATTTTAAAACTGAATATTTGACGTCAAATTTTCAGTCAGCTGCTGTACCGATCAGCTCCAATGGTAATATACGTATACGATTTTCCTGTTATAATTTCTATATTCTGATTATTTGTTTCACGATTGAAGGACTTATTTATTAACCTATTGATATTTTTAATGATATATTACTCGAGCAAAAATAAATAGAATGAGCAACAAACAAATACCACCAAAAACATAAATTGTAAGAAACAACAAATCTTGCAACTACATAAAATTGTGAGATCTCATGTCCAAGCCAGTTGTTTTAGTTAGTGTTTTTGTAAACATCTATTTAACAACTTTGTTGTAAATTGTTTCCTAATCTATTACCTATCAACGTGACCGTAGCAATATTAGTATCATTATTTCTATAATATTTATACTGACTTGACCCACGCTCGGCATTATAATTATAAATGAATAATGTACTATTTCGACCACTAGATAAATATATAAAGTACACTTAAAAATTAGAAGAATCTGTTGCAGTGCAGTTTCCAAGTCATTATGGTTATTAGAGAAATAAAAATGTCTAATATTAATACGCTTATGAGTCTATGGAAGCGTCTATTCAAAAACTTGTTATCTAACCAAATACCTATCAACATTTATAGTGACCACCACATAGTATCATTCTCTGTAATATAATTTCTATAATAATTGTAATGACCGGGCATTGTTAAATATCATTTTTGATATTAAAAGGAATACAATTATAGAAATAAAGACTGTACTAAACAATGTTTATGTGACATATGACGCAAAGTAAAATTCTAAACTTCAGAAGGTTAAAAGACCGGTTACAGCTGGATTATTTATCTTAAAATCTACGACACGCTATAAAATAGGTAATATATAACATAATAAAATCTGAAGGTGCAATGATATATGGCCGTCCTATACTGACCTTTCCCATTTTACTCTGTTTTCCAGACGCTCCCGTGTGTATCCAGGAACGGGAAGAAGTATACGGCGCCCTCAAACAGGAGACGGTGGCGTTACGATGCGAAGTGGACGCTAACCCGCCAGTGGCCTCCTTTCACTGGACGTTTAATAATAGCGGCGATCAAACCGATGTGTCATCGGAGAAGTATACTACTGAGGTAAGGACAAATATTTGTTAGAAATAATTGCTTCTAGTCACAAGGTTTGTTTAAATTGTTGCAAAAAGCCTAAAAAAATAAGTGGTTTTAGATATTTTGAAATTTCTGAAAAATAAAATTTACAGAAGTAGGAGGGATCAACAATGACGCTTTAAAACTTAGGGTGTATTCCGTTGCTTTCCTTGGTTATGGTTTTATGTTCCGTTTCTATCGGTTTCCTGAAAGTTTTCTTATTACGGAACACGGTTCCTGAAAAATTCGGTTATAACTGTCACCAAACTAACCAGTTAACCAGTGCGAGAAGGCTGGTTTTTCTGGTTTTGTTTGTCAATCAATGTCATTCATGTGAGAGAAATCAAGCAAATATTGGAAGTTTGAGTGAAATTCTCATTTAATTTCTAAAATTTGTTATAATATTTTGTATTTACATCCAAAAGCAATGGAGGTAGGCAGTAAAGGTAAATAAATTTCATTAACTAAATAGAATGACTTTTTAGGACCATTTAAACTTATCATGCAGTCATTGTTTCTTAAAGTCAGGAAAATTTAAAGAAAACATGAAAAATAAGACAACAAGTAATCGTGAATGAAAAAATGCTTAAAAGATAAATTTTATAATAAAGGTATTGGAATTTAGAAAACGTCAACATTAGACATTTCCAGTATTTTACCAAACCGTTCCGTATGAAACCGATGTTTTTCAGGAACCGCTCTTTATAGTAGTTTACCAGTCTGGTTCGCCTGGTTTTGCATCGGAATACAGCCTTAATCCTAAATAACTTAAAAACGATTAATTTCAGGTATAGGAACATGTATAATAAAAAAGTAACGAATTGAAAACCCTTTTTCCTAGTGAAATAAAAAACTGGGGTTCCATTTGAAAAAAATTATTTATGATAATTTTTTAATCTCAGCTCAATTCCTTGATAGCTCAATTCCTTGATAGCTCAATTCCTTGATAGCTCAATTCCTTGATAGCTCAATTCCTTGATAGCTACGGGTAATATTATATGACATTCGTATAATTTATTTTTTGAAATAGACAGCCACATGTTCCCTATTTATGTCACAGTGACTGTGGTAATTACTATTACACTAAATTTGACGTTTAGAATACACCCCCCCCCCATTTTGTGACAGGCAGTTTTTTCCTCCAAAATTTTCAAAAAACGGTTAATGTTAGGTATAGAGGGCTTAACATGAACATTCATGGAATTATACAGAAAATTGAAGTGTGTAATAAAAAATAGGGGTACACATTTAAAATAAGAAAGTTTCTGTTAACTTCCGCTATTTCCGGATGTGCCGCCATATTGAAAATATTTTTAATCGATAGATCTTTGATGTGCAAAAAATCTCCGATCTAAATATTGTAGTTCTCTAGAAACTTCTAATGCACGCTCAGACTGGGACACCCTGTATACTTAAAACATTTATTATATTATCTACTTTTTTTCTTTGTTTTGACACTAACGATAACAGTTAATAAATATTCGAATTTCTTAAAGTTATTGCCAACCTAACGAGCAAAGTCAAAATAGTCAAAAGAAGAAAAAAAAACAAGTAAAAACGATTTTTTCAAAAAAGTCCTATGAATATTTCGCTATTAGTTTTTAGCCAATAGTTATTTTTAAAAACTATTTCAAATACCTAAATCCACCTATCCAAGAACACTAGTTTTTGGCTGATACGTCCATTATAAATCGTTGATATTCGTTCAAAATGACATTACAAGAAATCAAAATCCAACTACTTATCTGATCACAACAAATTAATTAGATAAAAAAGCTTAAACTTTCTGTAAATGACTTTATACAGGGTCGCTGTTATGTATAGAAACGGTCGATTATTAGGTATAATACCGGGTGCGTCTCAAAAAGGGGTCACAAGTCAACAAGGGCTCATCCCTGTAACTTTTTTATTTTTACAGTTAAAAAAACGAGATTTGGTGTGTTAGTATATGACATAAATTAGGATTGATTGACGTATTCAATTGTTTTCTGTCACTTCCTGTTTCAACGGAAATGACTACAACTTTTGATTTTTAAATGGAACCCTCGGAACTTTTTTACTTTATTCCATAGAAAATAACACTCTGAATAGAATGACATATGAAAATGTCAACTTTTGGCATTTTCGCATATGGTTTATTTGAAATTATAACTTGCGGTTCGTAACGAAAATTTGACTCGAAATACCAAGTGTGTGGTACCAAATTATTCGTAAAAAAATGCTTTTTCCCAATATGCTAATGAGCCACCCTCGTTCCATTTGAAAAAATTGAAATATGATTAAAAATACGATTTGAGCATTTTCTAACTGGCCAGGACAAGACACTAAAAACATTAGACAATCAAATCTATTTTTCCAAGGCTCCTTGATTAAGAATTAGTATTTTTAACATAACCATGGCACTCTAGATTGAATTTTAAAACTTAATTTTGTTTTAAGCGAGAATGTCAAAAGTTGACATATGATATGTCATTCTATTCAGAATGTCATTTTCTATCGAATAAAGTAAAAAAATACCGAAGGTGCCATTTAAAAATTAAAAGTTGTAGTCATTTCACGTGAAACAGGAAGTGACCAAAAACAATTGAATACGTCAATCAATCCTAATTTATTTCATATACTAACATACCAAATCTCGTTTTTTTATCTGAAAAAATAAAAAAGTTATAGGGGGTGAGCCACTTAGAGTAGCCGCATCCGGTATAGGAGGTACCGCAAAAAGTTAAATACAAAAATGATATATAGGATTTTTAAACATCTATTAGCGAGTAATAAATTTAAGTATACAGGGTCGGTTATAAAGTCGTGACACATCAAAGTTCCATTTTTTTAAATGGAACCGCCTGTATATTATTGCATATATCGAAATACACACAATGTACCTCAAACCAACCGTTTCCGAGTTATTGATTTTTCCATTCTGCCGAAACTGTGATACTTAATAATATTTGACATTAGTTCTCATGTTAGCATTCATAGATGTATAAAATGAGAGTATATGAAGCCTGGAAATTACAAAATTTTTGTTTTACACTTGGTTCACATTGTGTATTACGATTATTGCTTAAAATTGAACGAAGAATTAATATATGCAATAATATACAGGGGGTTTCATTTAAAAAAGAAGTTTGATGTGACACAACTTTATGACCGACCCTGTATACTTAAATTTACTAGTAGCTAATAGAAATTTAAAACCCCATTACAACAGTATCACAGTTTCGGCAGAATGGCATCATTAAATCAAACCAAACACATCGAAATTAATTAAATCGAATTGTTTAAGTGATATTTTCAAGTCAATAACTCGGAAACGGTTGATTTGAAGTACATTGTGTGTATTTAGATTCTTGCTTAGAATTGAATGAATAATTGAAATATGTAATAATATACAGGTGGTTCTATTTAAAAAAATGAAACATTAATGTGCCACGACTTTATGAACGACCCTGTATACTTAAATTTATTACTCGCTAATAGATAATTAAAAATCCTATAACTTTTGTATTTAACTTTTTGCAGTACCTCCTATATTTTACCTAACAATCGACCGTTTCCATACATAAAAACGACCCTGTAATTGCTTTTAGCTTTTACTTAAAGTTATGTTATATTTGTTTGTGTTATGTGGTTCCAGACTTTTTGCAAGAAATTAACAAAAATTGTTTCACAAATATTCATAAAACTAGTTTTACTTCCCACAGTTTTCTTTCTCTTTAACCTAATTTGCAAAAAAATCCGCTGACGATTACATAAAAGAAACCTTACGAATAACTCGTCGAAAAAGACGAATATCGTCTAAAATCTAGCCGAGCTTCTATGCTCGTCGCTGGGCCAGTCGCGCGACAATGTAATAGCAAAGAATAAAAGATATAAAAGTAAATTTTCTCATTACAGGTTACGTCTTCGCTTCTCAACTACACGCCAAACACCGACCTCGACTACGGCACGCTCCTTTGTTACGGCGAGAACGAAATTGGCAGACAGAAGGAACCTTGCGTCTTTCAAGTGGTTATCGCAGGTAAGTCGTTCCGTTGACGGTTCCTCTTATTTCCGGTTTGCACCGTCGATGTCGTTTAGTTTATCTCGCAATTGCAGATTGAGGCGGTGGAGATGAAACTTGGCCGCATAATTTAAGAAATAAAATAAAAATTTATAGGTAGTCGGAATTTTTCTATGAATTTTAGGTGTATGTAGGTTTATTGCAAATGTTAAAAGAGCTGAAATAATAGTTCTCTGAAAATCTAAGTATTGAAACGAAACTACAATTTTTCTACCTTGTTGTACAGGGTGGCGCCTTTCACACGCCGCGGAAGCTCCAAGGAGAACGGTAGTTTATATCGAAATGAAATTTTGGCAGCATATGTAGGTTAACTGAAAGCATTCTATAAAATTATGAAACTCTGTATAGAATTATACAGAGTTTCCCCAAAAAAAGTTACACATCAAAATTTTGTTTTTCTAATGGAACACCCTATATATTAATTGATTTTCAGATATAAAGCGAAAAAAATAAAGGTGAGTTTTATTAAAGAAGTATATACCTAAAATCTAAGGATTTTGACATATTTCACATTTTGTGAAAATGAAGAGTAAATTTTAAATTTAGATAACAGCTACCTAAATTTTAGTTGACCTTGTATAGATTGATATTTAATTACAGTAACCATTGTATGTTAAACCAAATTGAAATTTGACCCGAAACACAGGGTGAGACAAAATTAATATTGAACATTAGTCGCTTTTAAAAGCAAGTTACTCCTTTATTTTAAATGGAACACCCAGTATATTATTCCGGTTTTCAATGGGGAATTTATATATCTTTAAAATATTATTAAGATTGCCTAACTCTCAGACAAAGATTTTCCTAGATATTTTAATTTTTATGATTTTGCGTCAGTAGATATTTATTATTTGGTGGCTGTGATATACCTTTTGTTAATTTAACAAAAATTAAAGATTGTAGAGTAAAATACTCAACGGTAATAAAAAGATACGTTTAAAACATATTTTAATTACTACACAATTAAAACTAGATTTAAACCTATAATTATGTTACAAAAATTAGCTAGATGAAATCAATTGCTCAAAATGCTTCCTGTCCTGTTAACTGCATAAAATGATTGTTTTTTCAAAAGGATCTTTTCATTTTAAAAAGCATATGTGGAGTTCTACCTCGAAAAGCAGCTAGAATAACTAATTGTTGGACTAATTAGGCAGCTATGTTGAAGTAAAGTCAAACATATCACAGCCACCCTAGATTTTATCAAATAATACAGATCTACTCAGATTAAATCATATAAATGAAAGTATCTAGGAAAAGTTTTGTTTGAGGGGCAGGCAACCTTAATACTATTTTGAAGAGACATGAATTCTCCATTGAATATAGGAATAATATACTGGGTGTTCTATTTAAAAGAAAAAAGTAACATGCTTTTAAAGGTGACCAATGTTCAATATTAATTTTATCTTACCCTGTATAACTTTTTGGATCAAGTTTTAATTTGATTTAAAGTACAATAGTTGAATTAACTACATATTAGGCTATATCGGGTAAATTCCAATTTAGGTAGCTTTTATTGTTATTTATAAATTGTTCTTTATCTCTAGAAAATGTTAAATATGTCAAAAACCTTACATTTTAGTCATATACTTCTCTTATAAAACTCACCATTATTTTTCTCCCAAAATCCGAAAATCAATTAATATATAGAGTGTTCCATTACAAAAAAAAACACAACTTTGATATGTAACTTTTTTGGAGACACCCTGTAGAACTCTCTATATTTTTAAAAAATGCTCTGAATTAACCTACATATGCTCACAAAATTTCATTTTAGAAACTGTCGTTCTCCTTGGAGCATCCGCAGCGTATGAGAGGCTCCACCCTGTATACATGATATGGCTAATAAGCTAATAATATGTAATATTATATTCGTGGTAAAAATTAAATTGTCTTCTCTGACGAACATTTCATTACTTTTTACATAATAAATTTGAAATTTGGGTTCAAAATATAGTTCATGAAACATTTTTCCTATGAATATCAAGTGATCCTAAGCAAACAATTTTAATAGACACTATTTTTATATATTTACATAGAACTTGAAACTGTATTCACAATATAAACAAAATTAAATAAAATGTGAATCATAGAAAAATAAATTATGACATACTCGTATAAATCAAGTTTTATTGAAAACATATAAACCGTTTTCAATTCAAAACATTCTATACGTATTGATGCTGAAGTATATTGAAAACGTATGCATGTTTAAATAAAACCTAATACCCTTGCTTATTGGATGATATTTGTCGAGAATTAGGATACAGTGGTAATCAAAGCGAACAATATGAGTACACGATTTGATATTCAGTTTTTAGTATGGCGGCGGAGAGCAGTTTCATACCAAATTTAATATACCGAAATGTAATATTACTAATAGTAATCATAAATATGTAATACATAGTTCAATAAAATATTCCTATTTTTAGAAAATGACCATAGTAGCATCATTGTTTTTCTTTAACACAAGCGACTAATATTAGTCTGGTATAAGTTAATAAGATATTTATAGTAAAACTAGAAGTAGAATTTGGGTCAAAAATACATTAAATGTTTTTTTGTGAAAGCGTTTCGAAATTGACAGTTTTTGATATTTATTTGAGATTCGAAATGATATTCTTTTAGGCACTAGTATCTAAAAGTGACACTTTGCCTAAAAGTAAAAAATGAAACGTTAGAAACAATGAAAATATTTATTTATTATAAATCTTAAACAGAGTTGAACAATACTAGCAATACCTTTTCTGTGAAATTATCAACATGTTTTTCTTTGACCCCGGTTTCAAAGTTGTTGTAGGCGGTTTCGTATAAATTTTTCGACTTCTCGGGCACCAACGTGGATAGCGCAGTTTCAACAGCTTGTTGAATATCGAAAGACTCGTCACTATCACTCATTTTTTCATAAAACTTTGTAGGAAATACGGCGACGTTTGAACCTGACAGAACTTTGTCATTAAACAATGCCTTAGAAACCGATTACCAAAACATTTTAAAAAATGTTTAAAAATAAATAATAATAATAGCATGAAAATCTCAAATCCGCTTTCACAAAAAATCTTGTATGAAATTCGTTGCGAAAAGAGTGGCAGTCGGCTTTCGCCTCGTTGAACAATTTTGCGTCCCGTGGTCAAAACACATTCATTTCGCAACTTGCTCGGCAACTTGTTACATAAATAACTATATTAAATATTTCTTTACGTATACTTATACTTTTCTTAAGTTATTAGAGTATCTTAAATAATCATAGTACTGGTTTATTCTATTTAAATTATAATTATTTCTTTTATACAGGGTGACTCTTAACTAAGTACAAATATTTTCAGGATTGGTAGATCTCAAAAATGAAACATATTTTTCCTTTGATGTTTTTCAAGTAAGTCCAAAATAACTGAGATTTTTTAATTTGAAAATTAAAAAAATATATTTTTCGCTTAAATTTTCAAAACTACTGAATCTTTCCTGGGTTTCTGGGGTCGAAATAAACTACCCTTAAAAATATTTGCACTTATTTAAGACTCACCCTGTATTTCCAAAATAAAATTGTGTTAATATGATTTGTATCTGTCGAAAATGACTCAAAAATGATTTTTCCACCTGTGTTTGTTTCATAATATCAAGAACTATACAATTACAACACTCTACTTTATGTTACCATGTCTTTGCAATAATGAGTGTTTCGCAAACAATCCTACTGTTATTAGACATGTCGTTTTATTACTGAATGTCGACTTGTAGGCTCTGTTTTGGTTTTGCCAGAAGGATTGTAATGTATCTGTTTCTTTTCTCAGTAGATGTTCCTATTTGCAGAATGCGTTCCTAATCTGCTTTTGATATTATTTTTCAAATTCAACTACTATCTTTACTGCTCATTATATTCTAGTATTTATGAAAATTGCCTTACTTATTTTTCATCACTACCGTATAAGTTATGTCTATAGCATTTTTTTAGTTATCACAGCTTTATAATCATATGAATTTGCAAATGTTCTGCCTACAATGCTGATCCTGGATATTTGACACTTTTACACATTACGGATTTTAGCAGGGAAGACTTATTTCAACTTATTATCTAATTTTTATCATTCTCGTCCTAAATGTTTTATTATATGTGTCCACCTTACTTTTACTGTATTATCTTATTTTTATTATAAATTAACAAAAATTTTGTAGCACAAAAATTTGATGTAATTATGTTGTATTTAGGATAATCCATAGGATATTTAAACTTTCGTTTTCTTGTAAAAGGAATTATCAAAAATTACTAATAGTTATTACTCCTCGCACTATTCTTCTACCAGTTCTAGAAAATTGGTAGTTGGTATCAGTGATGCCAACTCGTAGGAAATTTCTAGATCCGGAGGGAAAAGGTAAATTTTAACTCAAAACATCATATACAAAAATAGTTATGGTATAAGCATTAAATTGTATTTTCTGTAATTTGTTGGATGTTGTCTATCGAAATCCAAAAATCTAGAAAGATACCCCCTCCCGAATATTGTCGCTCGACGACACTATAATTGATTTTCAATATTTCGTGGGAATTTTTAGAAAATACTTGAAATTTTGACCGTCTTTCCTGGAAATTCTATTTTGGAAATGTGGCAACACTGGTTGGGATGAGTAGAATAACAGCATTTACGAACTTATCTATTTTGAGAGAGAAAAAAAGGATGAAGAGAAAGTGACACTTACAGCCAGAGCCCATTGGACCTCTCAATTATTAACCTACTTTAATATAATACTAAAAGACATTCTACGTTAGAAGAATTTAATAATTTAGAATTTCAAATTAACCACCAAACTAACAGATAACTAAATATTTGTATTTGATATTTATCTATCTATCAGCCATACTAATTGAGTATGGTTGATAATTCACATCGTTATAGTGCAATTTTTTCGTATTAACCAAACTGAATAAACTGAGAAAATGACTCGCAAAAGCGTGCACAAAA